TCAGGTACAAAACAGGAATATTTACAAAGGTAACAAATGGGTTTTGCATGATTTCTCTGTCTTAGGCTCTTCTCAATTTAGTCCCAAGTATTTTAAAAAAATTTCACAATGTCCGTTACTACATGATTCCCAGGCCCAAGACGCTCCACTCCAAAGTCCCAGTGCACCTACGCGAAAATCCGGTCAATGTGGCCGGGGATCGACGAGAAATCCTCGTAGGAGAACTCCTCGTAGGTCTCGTGGAGGTAGAGCTCAAGCCTGTTGATCAGGTTCCGGGGTAGGGCGATCTTAGTGGGCCCTCCGTGGTAGCAGACATGCCCCCTCCACGCCACAATCAAGTACTCCGGGATCATGGCCCGACATAGCATGGCGGCATACGGCCCCGGTTTCTGCATGCTTTCCCGCAGCATGCGTTCTCTCTGGGTGTCCGGGATCCTCAGGAGGGTGATGTCGCTCATGACGCCCTGCTTTGAATTAGGGAGGGGACTGTTAGTATTGGGACTGCTTTACAGCCACGCGGTGGAGGGAGAGGGGCAGCATACAGGGATCTTTCCCTGGGACAGCCGCGAGGGGGTGGGACAGGGGCAGAGTTGATGCTGTCCTGATTGCTGGCAGCAGAGACTGGCATTGCTTTCAATGTGAAAGGAGGCCAGTGCTACAGCTGGAGTTTTAAGCAGCCACAAGACTGCGGCTTACCATTATTGCCCGCTCCAGAAGTTCAGGTCTCCAGCCACAGTTCTCTGAACACTCCAAGACCTCCGCAAGTCCACAGGCACTGAAGGCGACGGCCGAAAATTCGACCTTGTCCTGAGTGCGCATGTGAGAGGTTCAGTGCATGGTCTTGTTCACAGAGAAAGACTAGGTTCTTTGTATACAATTTCATTTATCTGTCTCAGGAATTCACTCCCTTTTTAAAATTCACACAGACACATCTGCGACTGTCTCCCAACCCAGCCTGTCAGCACACTCCCAGAGGCTAGCGCAGATTAGGCGGAGGAAGAAGAAGACGCGTGAAGACATGTTCACAGAACTAATGGGCTGCTCCCGAGCCCAGGCAGCCCAGCAGACACAGTGGAGGGAGAACTTGTCACAAATGCACCGAGCAGTCATGGAACGGGAGGAGAGGTGGCGTCAGGAGGACCAACAGGCTACTGAAAAGCTGCTTGGACTAATGAGGGAGCAAACGGACACGCTCCGGCGCCTTGTGGATGTTCTGCAAGACCGGAGGCAGGAGGACAGAGCCCCGCTGCAGTCTATCTGTAACCGCCCTCACCCGCCACCAAGTCCCACACCACCCTCACCCAAAGTCCAAAGAAGGAGGGGCGGCAAGGGCCGTTAAAACTTTCAATCAACCCCTGCAGACTGCTCTAGCAGTAGAAGGCTGACATTCCCCAAAATTTCATAAGTCCTTTCCTACCCACCTCACACAAGCCCCCGTCCAAGTTTCACCCCCCACGTTTCATGTCTGGTTCGCAATAAAATGTTTGTTTCTGTTCATTACTGTTTCAGTCAGGTTCTTTTGAGGGAGAGTCTGTCTGGAGGGGGGGAAGGGGCTTGGTAATTGGACAGGACAGTCACCTTTAGCAGGGTACAGAGGCGGTGTCAGGTCCAGCATCAGGACACATG